CCAGCGGAAGCCTATTTCTTTTAAAAGTTTCCATAACGTACTTCGACTCATTTCTGGGTAATCCTTATCATCTCGAACTGAGGCAAGAACTTTATCCAATGTTGAAATTCTTGTCAAAGAAGAATTCATGCACTTTCCGTCGAAGTCCTTCTTTAAAATGATATTCTATTTGAAATTTTGGTTTCCCTGGAGCATTACGTGGCATTTGAAAACTACCACATTTCTCTTCTTTAATAACTCTGTAAATCGTAGATTTCCCAACACCAAGTGTACTGCTAACTAACTCAACGTCTCATCAACACTTTCACATAAACGTTTGTCTGTAAATGATTTAAAACAATTAAATATTAATGTTTTTTCATTAACTGTTAAAGGACCAATTTTTTGGCGTTTACACGGCACTTCCAAATTTTCCATAACACTAGTATATACAATAAACTGCACCTTGCAACTGAAGTACCTACTTTTAGTCAACTGTTAAGAATTTTGAATACGCCACTTGGACCTTCTACAAAATGGAAAAACCCACTATCACATTTTCTGTGGAATAAGTTTAGAAGGTAATTATCTAGTCAATTACTGTCGTAGATTCCTGGAATTAAAGAATTAAATGTTTGATTGTTGAAACCCTTACTTCGTGGAATGCACTCATTTCAGATAAAATAAAACGTTTTATTTTATCTAAAGAATTAAACTTTATTTTGCAAATAGGTAGGTACTTATTAAACTTTTATTGGTTATATATAACCAATAAAATAAACATCTTACATTTCTTGCAAATTCATTAGTACCTCTTAACCTTCATCACTCCGACACTGGCAACCTTATTTAGGGATTAGTAACCCTCACAACTATTGTATTCTATTCTGCTCCAACCTTTATACCTGGTGGTCATACTCAATTTAAAATTGTTTTCCTATATACTTCTGTAAACTTGTTGACAAATATCTGTTTTTCATTGAGTCACCCGTATCAACAGTTTAGGGATTTGCATACATAATTTATTGTTTTATTACTCTCTCGTACATAAAAATACACTATAGCTTTAAAAATAACCTATTAAAAGATCTCGTCAAGTCGTCACTTAAAATAACTATAAAATCTCAAAAAATTAATAATTAATAATAAATTCATATAGAGCTGGAGATTTGTCCATTTACGTGGTTTCCTAGTTTCTAGAAAACATGTTTGAAACCCATTATAGGCTGTCCTATATATATGACACTGACAATTTAATTTTTTTCAACCCTTTAATTTTTTTTTTAATTTAAAGAAAAATACCATATATATTTTAGGCTGTAGAAAATTGAATTATAATCTTTAACATTATTCAAATTTGCTGACTTTGTTTAGATTTACACAATTAATAATAAAAGTTTCATATTGGCGCTTTTTTATCGTTTACTACTGAATTATTCTTGTTGAATAATTTTTATTATAAACTATATTCATGAATAAATCTCGGAAATATAAACTCTTGAATCGTCATTTTTCTTTTACAATCGTTTTAGGAGAAGGTGTTCTAAAATGACAAACTTTTTAGTTAAGACATTTTTTGAAGATACCATTCGAAATATTGAACTAAAAGAAATGTAACACATACCTTTAAATATGTTTTATTCATATACTAAACGAAAATATATCATCTCTATAAAAAACTTGTTAAAAAGTATTTTTATAAAAACCTGTCATTTTACAAATATAAACAGAAAAATATAGGTAGGTGAATTATAAAAACAAGAAATCAGTCTTGACACAAGTCACAAATAAACTTTTTTACTTTTGCAGACACCCGGCACATTCAGATTATGCCAATTAATGCATTTATGCAACTAATCCAACACTACCTGGACCGAACATTTTGAACCAAATTATTGCAGTAAAGACAAGCCACATCATCCTCTTCATCTTGGGCTGCAAACAGATCTTCTTCGGTTTTCTGTTTGTGCAGTGGAACTTGCTTAATTAAAATGTTCCTTTTAAACTGATGAACATTCTCACGTCTTTTCTCTTTTTTCTCTGCTTGAGTTCTTCCAAATTAGGAGTAGTTGTTAAAACTCCAGAGATTGTTTGTATAGATTTCTTTTACTAGTTTCATTGCTATAGACACTGGACAAACATATAATTTTTATTATAAACTATATTCATGAATAAAATCTCGGAAATATAAACTCTTGAATCGTCATTTTTCTTTTACAATCGTTTAGGAGAAGGTGTTCTAAAATGACAAACTTTTTAGTTAAGACATTTCTTGAAGATACCATTCGAAATATTGAACTAAAAGAAATGTAACACATTCCTTTAAATATGTTTTATTCATATACTTAAACGAAAATATCTCATCTCTATAAAAAACTTGTTAAAAAGTATTTTTTAAAAAACCTGTCATTTTACAAATATAAACATAAAAATATAGGTAGGTGAATTATAAAAACAAGAAATCAGTCTTGACAAAGCTCACAAATAAACTTTTTTACTTTTGCAGACACCCGGCACATTCAGATTATGCCCAATTAATGCATTTTATGCAACTAATCCAACATACTGGACCGAACATTTTGAACAAAATTATTGCAGTAAAGACAAGCCACATCATCCTCTTCATCTTGGGCTGCAAACAGATCTTCTTCGGTTTCTGTTTGTGCAGTGGAACTTGCTTAATTAAAAAGTTCCTTTTAAACTGATGAACATTCTCACGTCTTTTCTCTTTTTCTTCTGCTTGAGTTCTTCCAATTAGGAGTAGTTGTTAAAACTCCAGAGATTGTTTGTATAGACTTTCTTTTATAGTTTCACTTGCTATAGACACTGGGACAAACATAATACTACTTTGTATATAACACTACTTTCTTCTATTTCTTTTCTGACCAACTTTTCTGGTAGATTAGACATATTTTCTTCTGTACTGGTTGTGTCTAATAATTCTATTTGTAGTCTCAGCGGTTCAAAAACTCGTCTGGGAACATCGTGGGTTGAGTGGGTTCCAAAAAGCCATTATAACATTTTTATTTTTGTTGCTTTTCCGTAAGCAAAACTGAAAAGTTCGCAGATTTGATTTTGTGTGATTACCCGTCCTGGATGGTTTTTAACCATAGTGCACATTACTGCTTATAAAATCATTCAGGGGACCAAAGAAGGAAACATCAGGTGCCTGGATACATGTGTGCAGTGAGCACGGAAGTCAAAAATAATAATTCCATTTTTTTGCTAAATGTCAATGCTTTCAGTGATTTATTGCTAGTGTGTCCAACCAGGAGCAAGAAAAACTTTTGATTTGAGAGTTGCCTTAACCAAATTATGGAAATACTCCAACTACAAAATGAAGGTATCACCTGCATCCATCCAGCTTTGTGAAATAATCCGAGGACCAGGAGTTAATCTATCTAGAAGTTAATCTTTTCTATTTTTCCTAAGGCAATTCAAAGCTTTCGGTACGAAATTACCTGTACTATCATGCAACAGACACATGTTACATGCTGACCTCTTTCGGCGCTGATCAATAATCCAACTTGCTTTCTTCCAGTTTTTGCAAACATTTTTGGAGGGCCTGTGTACTGTGGACAAGACAAACCACTTTCGTCCATATTATAAATGCGATAAAATTTAATTGTCTCTTTTTCCAGGGTGATTTCCATCGTATTAAAAAATTTATTTAAGGCTTATTTAATGCATAGCTCTAGCTGCCGACACAGCTTCAGGTGGCTTCAAGGATATTTCAGGATGTTGCATACGAAATCCTCCCAGCCACTCTGGTCCAGCGCTGCGCTCATAGTCCTAAACTGTTGACCAAACTTTAACAGGATAACTAGAAAGATTCTTCTTCGGGAGTATCTGCTACAAACATGGTAAAGATGTGCATTTATACAGATATTTTTAACTGTTGAACTAGGACCTAAGTTTAGTAAAATGTTACAGGAGCAGAAAAGTTAAAAAATTGTATTAAATTTGTTTTTTATTAAAAGTATACTTACTTATTTAACTTATTTTATCACAATTTAATTTACCTATTACTAGTTCAGTGTCCGTCATCTACACGTAGAAGACTATATTAAGTTTACTTACGTTATCCACAAATAGATGGCACTGCCTAGAAAATTTTTTAAAACTCTTTACTTATTGTTATTAATATTAATATTTAAAAATAATATAGCATGTACCAAAAGGTATGTGCTGTGACAATAGTAAAATACTAAATTTGTTTAGTATGTCCATTTGTTCCAGTATTCAGATAAGTGTAATTAAATTAAATTTTGTTAAAGTTGTTTACATCGAGAGATGGCGCTGTACATTCCAAAAATCTCCATTTTGAAAATATTTTATAAATGTACAATTTTCATACCTGTATAATTTTTTGATTAATTAATACATACCTTTGTTTATTCAGAAATGAATACTCAAAAAAAATATAAGAAATATAATGTAGCCTGCCTATTCCTAAAACTACAGTTAATACAAAAATATAATAATAACTTGAAAAAGTTAAAATATCTATAATTGATATTAGACGTTTCTACAAATTCTCTGCCTACCATTTTCTTCTTTCTCCGTCTTAATCGTCGCTAAATTGTCTCTTCTAACTTTGATTCGCTTCTTTTTATGCCTATAAAGTACCTCATTTCGGTTGTTTCCAGTAGTTTTTTTGGCCTCTTTTCTGACGGTGTGTTGGTGGTTCAGTTCATTATTTGCATTTATATCATATTTTAAAGAGTCTTGTTTGTAACATAGGTTGTATGTAGCTATCTATACATCAACTGTTATCAATAATAGTTCCTTCAATACCCTCATTTTTTTAATGGATGTCATTTCTGATCTATCTTTTCTTAAAATATTAAGTGATCTTTTGATTGCATCCATTCCAACAGATTTTCATCTTTTTTATATTTTTCTGTCAATCTCCAATTTTCAGTCAATATTCTGGTTTTTATTCTAGTTTCAAATATAATCAATTTTCATTTCTTTGTAATATTTTTATTCCATAGAAAAGTTTAACCACATTAAATAATTAGGTACAAATAGTATTTTTATTATAACAGAAATCAATATAAAAATTTCTTACAAATGTCCGATATAAGCATAAATTGTTACAACATTATTAATAATTGAAATTTATTTGTACTTATTTTTTAACAAAAAATAATGCGCCATTTGTAAGTTTTCAGGTCTGAGCACAATATTGCTGTCTTTTACTTCTTCGTATTTAGCTACAACTTTTCTTAAATCTTCTATTTCTTTCTCGTATTGATCTTTCATAACTTCTATAGTCTGAGCTTGATCTTGGATCGTCTGTTCTACGGTAGCAAATTCTTGCCAAGCGTTTTTCTGTACATCCTGTAAAGAATTAATTAAAAACTTATGAAGTACAGGTTTAAACTACAAATATTTATGTTCTATATTTTCTCCCATAATATAAAAATCGAGTACCTACTCCCCATAAGTTATGACTACAAATGGCAGGTACCTTTAGTTGATTTCTAAGCATATCCATCTTAGTCGCCATGTCCGAACCAAGTTTTCTGACAACCTTATTTTCTTGCTGCCTTAGATTCAAAGCTTTTAACAATTGTTCCTGCTCTGCCACCATTTCTTTTGCAAACTCCATAGCCTTATGTAATTGTTTTTTAAGAGCTGTTCGAGATAAATGTACTCCATTTAAGTTATGTTCTAGTTCAAGTTGTTTAGCTTCTAATTTTCTGAAAACTTTAATATAAACAGAGGGAAAAATAAGGCATATTTAAAAACATGTCAACAACTTTACATATCTGCTGATAATGGAGATAATGAGAAAAGACTTTAAAAACTGAGGATAATCTAAAATTTTGTTTATAAAAATCGGTGTCAATTGAAAATAGGTGTTATCTGTGCTTAGTGTTAATAACTCCCTTATAGCTGATATATTCAGTTATATTTTTGTTATCATTGCATGACAATGCATCGAAAAGCATAAAAACGAAAGCATCAATCCTCTATACGATATAGCTCCAAACATCTGCTCAACGAAAACTAAGAAAAATTCTGCTAATGAAGATCCTAACTAAAATTATATCCATTGCCATTTTTATACAATGAGCCGTCGAAGTAGGGCCTGTACACTGACTTCTATATAAAACCCTCTTTAACGAAATATCTATTGGGCTATGCGTCAATTGACAAAAATGGAGTTCTTGTGAAAGATTGCGCTAAAAAAAAACAACTTGGCGCTGTGGTATGATCCAAAACTATCCTATTCTTTCCAAAGGAGACAATTTGAGACAAGCCACAACCCGGATCTTACCTTTATCAGCATAGAGGACTTTATGGCTATATTTAGGGGCATATCTTTGGAGGACCGTTAGCGTAAAAGAGTATACAAGAATGTACCAAAAATGCAACATAGGACCGTGTGAATAACTGTATAAAGTACTATAAAAACCTCAAAACACCTTTCAAACAAAGATTCAAAAATATACTGACGAATTGGAAGCACTACTTGGTGAAAATCATAGTTCCATCATCTCAGAGGATGTCAACAACATTACATATCTGGTTTTAACGATGAAGTAAAAGATATAATGCCAAAATATATTTTATATTTTGGCATTGAATAATAATGGCAAATATTTATTTAGCGAAATTACGGCGAAGAAAGGCGAGCAATTGCATCATAATACTGAGCATCTCAAGACAAAACGATGGAGTTAGACACTAAGTAAAATTTTATATCAAGTACAAATAGTAAAAAGGCTTGAAATATGATCAAAACATTGTGATCTCCACGAGATAAAATAGCCATGCTCTTTTCATTCATCAGAAGAATGTACGAATCGAAAACAGCTTTGTTGCGAAACTTCATACGTCATTGAATGTTTTCATTGAACCATTTCTGCCAAAAATTTCGAAAAAATATATGCGATAATTTCACTAAATCCAATAAAACACTTACTTTACATGCTTCTCCCAAATGGCTAACATTATTTTCAAGTTTTTGTTTAGTCACAACATTACTAGCAATTTCTTTATTCAAATCTTCAATAGTTTTATTGTGAGTTTCAACAGCTTTTAAAAGTTTTTCTTTTTCCTGTTCGTATTGTATCTTCAATTCTTCATACCACCTAGAAATATGATTATAATATTGAATCTACTAATAATTTAAATTTCCGCAAATCGCCAGGAAATTTTGACATTCCTGTCAAAATTTCTTGAAGAAAAAGTCAGGACTTCCTTACTGTAAGGAAATGTCATTTCCTTACTGTAAGGAAATGATATTTCCGTACAGTTGTTAGTGTTCTACATAAATGATAGAAAACACATTGCTTATAAGGAATTAATTTATATTTTGAAAACATCAAGTCATTGCTGAATACATTTTTAAGATCAATTTGTTATATTTACAGTAATTTGACAGTTAGTACAATTATTGAACATTGGAGGAACACTCTTAGAACTATGAGAAACATTTTGGACAACATGCAGGGTGGAAGTGTCATTTTGTTGAATATTTTGTACTGTGAAAATTTTATTTGCCACCTCAACCTTATTGTTAAGCGATTCTTCGATATATCCTTCAGCAACGTTTGATGACTTCCATCCGCCATGCCTCTTTAAACTAGTTATGTCGGCACCAGAGTCAACCAATATTGTTGCAGAAGACCGACGAAAGCAGTGACCAGTATATTCTGTCGGATTTACCAAGTTCAAATAAGTAGCAATTATTTTGGGCATTTTTCTAAATTGATGAATTCCTACCACTTGTCTACAACCTTTCCGCTTTGATATTTAAAGAAAAATCGGTCACTGTTCATATTTTCTGGTCTTAACGAAACATACTTTCGATAAACATTCAAGTAGATCTGATTAATTACAAATGATCTTGGTTTGTTGGTTTTCGAATCAGGTATGCTGATTAAAAGCTTAGATTCTAAGTCTTCTATATCGTGTACAGTCATTCGGACTAACTCATCCATTCTACAGGCCCCAGAAATACCAAATATTACAGCCACCTAAAAAATAAATAAAGCTATAATCTAAATAGAAATTAAAACCTTGTAAATTACCTTAATCATTAAATTTTCTTTATCTGGAGCTTCCTGGATAAATTTTTCAATTTCTTCCTTCGTTAAAATCTTAGATTTCTTTGCCCTATAACCTTGAGCTTGCCGTTTCAATAAAGAACGAAGTTTTGAGTATGTAGATATATCTACATTGTGTTTAAGTGCAAGGGTTGACTTCAGCATTGAATAATTGGCCCATAATGTTGAAGATTTCATCTTTAAACAAAGGTCTAGGAAGTATGCCATTACAACATTTTCTGAGAAAGAACTCGTATTTTTACTCATGCGATAATCCATAAAACGTCTGTATGCATTTTCGTACTTTTCTCTTGATTTCTTTGGCAATAATTCTAATGAAGCAGTATTCACTGCCTCAACCAGCTCTGGAGGAGTCCCAGGAATGGAAATTTCATCATCACTTATCATTTTACTTTCGAGAACACCAGCAATTAAATTTATAAGCGTCAAGTTTGACAATTCAACCTCAATACGTTTCCATAGTAACCCAAGTAATTTTATTAGGAATTTCAAAGCACCATTTATTTGGGAATAAAATTATCGCGTTTTTTTTTAAATCAATCAATATCTGTCGAATTTTAAAACGATTTGCGGAAAAAATAGTATGTTTACCTCGTAGGAAAAGCCACATTCCTGGACTCTGTGTTGCTAAGTCTCGGCTTGCGCCTCGACTTAGCAATCTTCACAGTCGTCCAGGAATGTTAAGCTTTTCCTACCCGGTAAACAATGTACTATTTAATATGATCATTCATATTGACAATATCGATAGATTGTAAATTTAAAGTAGATGACTTTAAAAATTGATACTGTCAATATTTTTTAGTGGTTCCTGGGATAAATATATTGTAAGCTAGTTCATCGATTACATGTAATGTGACCAGAATTCTCACGTCCGAGACAACAACCATCAAAACGCCATAATACTGTCTTGACATGATAAGTCTTATATCTTACATTTCTTTTTATAAAAATATACTATTAACCAACAACAGTACATACATTAACCAACAACCAATCACACACACAATCTAGGTTTTACTAATGAAGTCACCTCACCAGTCTTTATCGTTAAAGTACAACACATTCACAAAAAGCGTTTTTAATGTTTGCAAAAATATGAAAAACAGTAATTGGCATATGTGCATGTTATTCTGCTGACTCTACCAAAAAAAATAGGTTGTACTTACTTCTTGCATTCGTTGACGCTAGAATTATGGACAGAAATGGGAATAAAATTGTGGCATCTGATTCTTGAGCTCTGCTTGAGATTCTACACATGACTTGTTTTTCTCCTTTAACGCCGCGTTTTCTGTTTTACTCTTGACATATTCTCCATGAAGCACATCAAAGTCTCGGCTCATCTGTTCAACTAGAAATATAACAAAAACTATCAGAACAGTAATTAAAACTAAAGTAAACAATGAAATATAGTATGGTACAATTGGTCCAAAAAAGGCCCTAACCCGACATCCAACGTAAAAGTTTTCCATCAACACCAAATTGTTCTATATGGTCCATATATTGCTTAGTAAAAAGTTTTTGAAACAAAAAAAGTTCCATGCATAATTCTTCAAAACAAACGGTTTTAAAGTTATGGAGTATGTACTTATGACATATACTACATAAGATTATGAGAAATTAATAAGCAGACTAGTTTGAAAATTGTAAAAGTAAATTCGAATAAAACATTAAAACACCTGAACTCTCTTCTTTATCAACAGGAGTTATAGAAGATAAAAATTTGGTTATGACAATGTGTTGAATCGAAACCTGCTTGAGTATTAAACAAAAATTAATGAATACACTTCAAAAGAAAGTTATCTAATTACTAGCTCTATATCAGGTCGATGATAATTAACACAACTACGGTATGTATAAACCCAAATACTCGGGTAGCACAAATGGATGGTGTGAACAGTAAGGGGTGATGAGAGACATGAAGAAATATTTCAGTAAAACTGTTTATATCGTCCATCTTTTTTCGACGAATCTGGCTTAATGAAAAAAAGGAAGTAAATCTTCAATTGTTACTCTTTTGGTTTAAGATACAAAAGAATCATCATGTACTCTAGATTCAGAGAAAATGTAACACATCATTGATGGAGGTCACCTCCATCATCGTGTTTGTCTGACGACGCTCAGCTACCTTCAAAGAGATTTGCGAGGAATACAGAGACTATGATATAACTCATTACGGAGCAGTGACTGTTGCATTTGATGGATACCTGCAAGGAAATACAAAAGATGAAGAACACCTACGCAGGGTACGTTTCTAGCATTAAAGTAAGAGTCGAAGACTTCTTCTTCTTCTTTGGGTGCCGGTGTCCGTATTAGACGTTGGCCTTCATCATGTTTACAATTTCCTGAAACCTTTCTCTGTCGGCTGCTGCGCGAAATAATTCTTCTACTGTGGAACCACACCATTGTCTAATATTACGCAGCCATAGAAAGTTTCTTTCGACCAATCCATCTCTTTCCTTCCACTTTTCCTTGTATTATAAGGCGAAGTAAATGGTAATTTAGGTCCTCTAATTATATGGCCGAAGTATTCTGTTTTTCTCCTCTTTATGTGTTTATGAGCAGACGTTCTGAATTGATCATTGAAGAACATCTTCATTGGAAGTGTGCGAAACCCACGATATCTTTAGGATTCGTCTATAGCACCACAATTCGAATGCTTCTAACTTGTTTAGAATTGTGGTTTTTAACGTCCAGTGTCTCACAACCATACAATAGGATCGACCACACATAACATTTCAGGACCTTCTTACGAATATTCATTGACAGGTTTCTGTTTGCATAAAAACTGGTTTCCAGGTCATAAACGCCTTACGTGATATTTCGATCCTGGATATTATCTCTTCATCAGAGTCACAATTTACATTTAACCAGCTGCCAAGGTATTTGAAATGATTTACCCTTTCTGTCTCTTCTCCATTAAGAGAAAGCAGACCTTGATCTATATGGATCTTTCCAACTGCCATCCACTTTGTCTTTGAAATGTTGATTTTTAGGCCTTTTCGATAACTTGCTTCACTGACTAGATTTAGTAATGTTTGGAGATCTTGTAAACTTTCTGCAAGAATGGCTGTATCGTCAGCGTATCTAATATTGTTGATTACTTCTCCACCTAGTCTTACTCCCTCTTGTCTGTCATCCAAAGCCTCCCTAAAGATTTCTTCAGAGTACAGATTAAAAAGAGTGGGTGACAAAACACAACCTGCCGTACTCCACGTTTGATGGGTATTTTTTCAGTGGGACTGTCTCCAATTTGGATAGAGGCTACTTGATTGTACTATAAGTATTTCAGCAGTCTTATATCATAGTGGTCAAGTCCTGCTGCCCGTAGGCAGTCGAAAAGTGTATTGTGTTGGACTCTGTCGAACGCCTTCTCGAAGTCGATGAAACAAACATAAACATTCTTTCGGTATTCACAACTTTTTTGTAATAGAACGCGCATACAGAATAGTGCCTCTCTAGTTCCTAGACCGTTTCGAAATCCAAATTGCTTATCACCCATCTTACTTTCGCATAGAAGGAATACTCGGTTTTGTATAATTCGTAAGAGTATCTTCAGTGTGTGACTCATCAAACTGATTAGTCTAAATCGCTGCATTTGGTGGGCCTGCTTTTCTTTGGTAATGTTATAAACAGTGACTCTAACCAATCATCTGGTATTTTTCCTTCGTTGTAAATTTTGTTTGAAGAAAGTGGTTAAGCAGGCAATGCTTTCCTCATCCAAAAGTTTAAGTAGTTCGGCAGGGATTTGATCTGGTCCTGGCTTTATTGTTTTGGCTTGCTGTATTGCCATTTCGACTTCCGAATTCAGTATATTGGGACCTCTGTCCAACTGGTTGTCACAGGCAGTATTTGGAGCATTTTCTCTAGAAGCATCGTCAAAAAGGTCAGTGATGTATCCTCTCCCATTCTTTGCACTGTTGTTCGTGATCACAAATTTTTCCGTCCGCGCTTTTAAGTATGTGAGCATTTTTCTGTTTTCTAATTCCGGCAGTATATTTAAGTTTCTTATGCAGGTTGAAGCTGTCATGCTTTTTTTTGGAGGTCTTCTATTTCTTTACATAAATTCTCAAGCCAGGATTCTTCTTCGTCGAAGACTAAATTCATGTAAATATAAAGTAAGGTATATCCATTTGGTATATCCGTACCAAAGTAAATTTTTAGCTAAAGCTAACAATAAAATAGCCCTTATTTCACTTCTTACAGTACACTTGCAAATATGTGGGTACATAGTTCATCAAGCATTAGGTGATGCTGACTTATTATTAGTGTTAACAGCTATTGATAAAGCTACGAAAGACATAGAATCTTGTGTTCATGGTGATGACACGGACCTACTAGTTTTGTTGACTGTCCACGCACAATCAAAGAAGAAATTGAAAATGGTGGTACCAAAGAATGACAATCAACAGAAAAAAGTCTACACTATTGCCGCAAGGAAAAATAGCAGGCAAACGCAGTCTAGAACGAAGAAGAACCTCATGGTTGAAGAACTTGCGAGATTGGTATGGTGTAGATACAAGCATGCTATTTAGGGTGGCAGTGAATAAAATTAAAATAGCTATGATGGTAACCAACGTTCTGAAAGGACATGGTACATGAAGAAGGAGAATTGCCGACTGTTAACGAGGCATTGGGGATATGAAGGATGTACTCCTTGCAATATACGCCTTTAGGGATGTGACACGGTATCAGATATCTAAAAGAAGGGAAAAAGTACACTATATAGGAAAGTGCAAGCCAATGAAGCTCTTTGTAGAAGACTTTTAGTCTTCAACGACCACAAAGATACCGCAGCACAGTAGCTGACGCCGGAAAGCATTTCCTTATCGCAATGTTTGGTACCAGGTACATGGAAGATCTAGATTGTTTTCGCTACCAGTCTTACTTAAAGTTTAAGGCTATTGCTAAGCAGCCTATACTTCTTTGCTCAAGTTAACTACACTACCCGTCACTTCAGGAGCTTCCAAACAGAATGCGTTGAGAACCTACCACTAGCTAGAGCAGTGGCTGAATGAGAAGAAGAATTCGCTCGAGTGAGGTTAAATATAATTCAATCACTAATTCAACAAAAAGTTAATACTTAAATAATATCATATTAAAAAAATACCTTTTGCTTCGTATATCTTTAAAACTTCCTCTAATTTATCCTGTTTCAATGAGCATTTCTTAATAAGCGCGTCATTTTGTTCTCTCGTATTTTTCAACTCCCTTTTTGAGTTCTCTAATTCTATCGCTAGTTTGGAACTGCAAGTTTCATCTTCGTTAAGTCTTCTGTACAAGCTTTCATTTTCTTCAATAATTTCTTTTACTTTTCCTAGTAAAAAAAAACTAGCATTTAAGTACAATGATAAACGTAGACGATCACAAATTTATTAATATATTTATTTTTATTACTTTTAATTGATTTTAAGAAAAAGATCTCGAATGTATTTAACATCGATATATCAGAAAATATATTAACTAATATATGTGATACACAAAATATGTTTATATTACCTGTAAACTTGCTCATTTCTATTTCATATTCTTCAATTATTTCATCCTTCTCTTTAACAGAATCTTCGTACGCGTCTAATAGGGGCCCTAAAGTGTGTCTGTTTACATTTCCCCAAATAACTGGTATATGTTTATGATCTCGATGTACTTCTGAGAGGATTTCTTTACTACTGGAAGATTCTAGGACATCTCGTTTGTGGTACGATTCTACAACTGGTTTGGGTATGTTATTTGTTCGTAAAAGTTCTTGGTACTTTTCCAATTGTAGATTTAATCTACAAAAAAAGTTAGAAGTAATAATGTAATAAATAATAAAATTGTGTTATGAAGGGAATGTTCAACAAGAAGCAATAATAACTGCAACAGAAAGAAGAGTGTCATGCAGCTAAAGAACGCGAAAGCTCCTGTTCCAGGAAATATAAGTAATGAATACTCACAGAAGCTGCGGATAAATTAATGGAGATTCCTGCAATTCCTGCATCTCGCGATGACAGCAGACATATGCCCACAGCGGGGTTCGAAGCTCAGGGAACCCAATAAAACCAGGACCCCTTATTCATCAAGGAATCTGTGTCAACACAAATGGATAAAAAATATTCTCACGGGACCCCCGCACGTTGACGACAGGGATACGGACGATACGCTACGAGTAGAGTAGATGCATAAAGGGGATTACGAACTTCCGAGATGGTAGGGTATTCTATTTTGGCAAAGCCAATGCCCCTGCGAGTCCGACTCCAGTGAGGTAACCATATCGTTCGGCTCCACCTTCCCCGCATTACGTGCGTTGCCGTATGTACCGTTGCCCGTGATCCCTGGGAGAGTGAACAATTGCACGCTGGTGGAATAACGGACCACCAAGTACCAATAAATGAATAATCAATGGACAAAAAGCATTTCTTTTAACTCTGTTTAAGCACCAAAATTTATTGCACCATTTTACCAGGTTGGATGTATCGATGAGATTGATCATGAAAATGTTTAAATAGTCGAACCCATTTGTCAACAAAATCAATTTGTATCGTCGTGGAATACCATTCATCAATTCATTGATGCTATAAAAACTTTCGTAAGTGACAGCTCCTCAAAAAGGTTTGTCAGTATTAATATTTGTCGAATCGCCGGAAACTGTGTATTTTGTTATAAATTTCAGCAGTTCCTTCGATTTCGTCCATATCAATAAGTGATTCCGTCCAATCCATTTGAAAATGTCGGCTCCTCCGAAACTGTCTTCCCACAAGTCAATGTATGAAATGCATCGTCGTGAAAATCAGTTACATCTGTTTGAAATTTATCAATATTCTGGCTACTACCAAGATTCTTTAATAATAATTGTTTCGCTTTGTGCACAAAATTTGTTCCATGCGTTCTAAAGTTAGATTTCTTAATTCCAAATAATGTTAATCGCACTTGCTTCACTTTTTTTCCATGAGTAGTACAGTCTTGTTAAAATTGTTTTAATTGTCCATGCACAAACCAAAAATATAACATCACCCGTTCACTTTCAAAAAAAATCTCGCATTGCATGTGGACAGTAATTGCTTTTAGTCCTTCGAATATATTCGAATTTTCTTATTGCCGACAAAAGAGAAAGAAATCCGTACTTTCCATTTTGGATATTGTTCTTATATACCACATCCACGTATCACAGAATTCCTTCAACTGAGTTTCTCGAACTGTTGTAGATATGAAAATTATAGTTTATTCGTCTTCCGGGTTTGGACCGTGTCATTTGTGAGTGACCCAAAAGTGGGTTCATCTCGACGTTTCGCTACAATTGTATGTAGCTTCTTCAGGAGAACAAAGAAAAAGAAAACAAAAGACAGGAAGATGGGTAGTTAGCAACGGTAACTCAGTTACTCAACGCAACCAGAGGCGAATACTAACTACCAAGATGGGCATTTGGTCACAGTAACTCAACTACTCAACGCAGCCAGAGGTGAAAACCAAATGCCAGGACAGGGATTCACGTCCAACAGCTCAGAACACTAACGCGTCGAGAGGCGGGGAGTGAATCCGACGATTACTCCGCTACCGCTCTATTTATAGTCGCGGTGACCTGTCGTGTCGGGACGTATCGGCACACTCCGTGGCGCGAACGTCAAGAAGCGCGCGCTGGCCAATCATGTGGCTGCATCGTGGTAGCGGGACCGGACGGCGGCTCTAGACTGAGATTCCAGATGGGAGACAAGTAGTATCCTTCCTCTCGATTGATATTATGTGGATTTTTTCGGATCTCTAGAGATTCGCGGATTTTCCTGGAATAAAAGAAGGGGCTCTTAGAAATAATATGGGTTTTTTCGAACAATATGGAATGACCGGTTTCTTGGCAGTGTTCTGCAACTGCAGAATGGGAGAAAAGACCTGATCGAATGCATCTTTGATGCTCTTGAATCCGAGTTTTGACGGAACGACCAGTTTCGCCAATATACACATGTCCACATGAACAAGGAATAGAATAGACACCACAGGAAGATAGGGGCGGTAATGGGTCCTTAGGAGAGGGTAGATATTGTGAGATTTTCTTGGGTGGTCGAAAAGTAGTCCTGATACCTTCTTTGCGAAGAATTTTGCCAATCCTATCAGTGACATTTCGAATATACGGAAGAAAAGCCACAGGAGTATTACCCGAAGATTCTGAATTTGTCGTCCTAGGGTGTAAAGGGGGATGTAGATGTCGGTGTGTAATATTTTGAATTGTGGACTTGGAGTAACCGTTGGCGACAAGGGTTTTTTGCAGATGGCCAAGTTCTTCTCTAAGGTTGTCGGGTTCAGAAATCGAAATGGCCCGATGGATGAGAGAGTTGATCACAGAATTCTTTTGGGCAGGATGGTGGTGTGATGAAGCATGTAGGTAACGATTCGTGTGAGTCTTTTTTCTATAAACAGAGTGACCCAATCGGCCATTGGGCTTGGAGGTGACTAACACATCGAGAAAGGGAAGGGACCGATTATTTTCTACTTCCATTGTGAATTTTATACTCGGATGTTGTGAGTTAAGATGATCTAGGAAGGGAGAAAGGGTATGTTGACCATGGGGCCAGATGATAAATGTATCATCAACGTAGCGGAACCAGACTTTTGGTTTTAAGGGGTAAGATTCTAGGCTAAAGACTCAAAGGCTTCCATGAAAATGTCAGCAATGACAGGGGAAAGGGGAGAACCCATTGGTGTTCCAGATATTTGTTTGTAGAAATTGCCTCTAAAAGAAAAATATGTTGAAAGGAGGCATTTTTCCGCAAGATCTGCCAAAACCAAAGACTTGTTATCATTGGTCAAGTGATCTCGCAGAACAACTAGAGAGTCATGTATGGGGATATTGGTAAATAGGGATGATACATCGAAACTGACGAGAATGTCTTGGGGATCGACCGTGAGGGAGGAGATTAAGGTGATGAAATGTGTGGAATTTCGGACATAAGAAGAGGTACGACCAGTATAGGTCTTAAACTGATTCGACAAGTACTTTGCGAGTTTGTAGGTAGGAGAGTTAATCGTAGTCACAATGGGACGAAGAGGTACGTTGTCTTTATGGATTTTGGGAAGACCGTAAATTCTGGGGCAGATGGAGTTTTTCGGAACTATGGACTTCTTAACATCATCGGAAAGATCGGATTGTTTGATGGCATGGGAAATTTCGCGTTCGACTCTAGGAGTGGGGTCTCGAGAAATTGTATTATAACAGGATGTATCCCTAAGTAAGTCGTTTACTTTCTCTATGTAGGAAGGAGTATCCAGGATGACTGTGGCATTACCTTTGTCTGCAGGAAGGATTATTATCTCAGAAAGAGAACGGAGATTTTTGAGAGCTATGAATTCCTCACGAGATATATTGGAAGTAGGGATTTTGGCTGTATCAAGACATTTAGCGACGTCAAAGCGGATACGGTCGGCTGGAATTTTGGGAATTGTGCGGAGTGCCGCTTCCACATTTGAAAACTATTTCTTCGGTAGGAATTCTGGAAGGAGTGATAGCAAAATTAAGACCTTTAGATAGAAGACTGCTTTCTGCACTTGTTAATTGGTGAGAAGAAAGATTAACGACGGTGTTGTAAGAGGTGAATGAGAAGTAGAAGTGGTGGAATGTGATTTTTTCTTAGATACAAGGGATTGGAATTTCTTTTGTGAGTTTCGTTGCTTAGAAGAAGGATTTTATCGGCTTGATGATAGGAAATGCGGTCTAAAAGTGACCAATCATCGACACTAAGAATACTGGAGAGTTCAAGATGCAGCTTAAAAAGTTTTTGGGATTGAAAATTACAATTGTAGCGAAACGTCGAGATGACCCACTTTTGGGTCACTCACAAATGACACGGTCCAAACCCGGAAGACGAATAAACTATAATTCTGACTCTGGCCGTGGAAGCCTACGATTTCGTTAGATATGAAAATGTTTATATATTTTGACAAATAGTGCTTCAATTTCGATTGGTAAACCCTCCACAGCATTTGGAGTGCACTGTGTACAACATGTGCGTCATATCTAATTCCTACAATATCTACACCGAGTTCTTGTTTAAGTCTTCTGTAAACATTATTTCGTCTTCTTCTATGCACACCTCCAAAATTTGTATTACATTTGTCGCCACAAAATGCAGCTACTTTTTTCTAATGTCATGACGACGTGAATGTTGAAATTATATTTTGAGTCAATATTTCCAATGTCTCACCCTGAACGGACTCAAAATTCAATAGTTTTTACATGAACACCTTCTAATGGTAAAAAGTATCTAACAATAATCGGTGCCAGTTTGATGTGTTTTTATTATTTGAGATGTCGTTAGTAAAACTTACGAAAAAAGGCTTCTGTAAGTCGGTGTATAACTCTGACAAAGACAAAGGTGCCAACACATTTAAAATGATCGCTTCACATTTAATTCTCGCAACCCCCAAATTTTGATTAAAAAAATTTTGAAATCAATTTCGACGTACAATCAGCTTTATTCATGCATTGCCATGTGATAAGCGAATGTGGACTCTAGCTGCAATAATTAAATCGTTTTGAATGGGATCATCATTAAAAAAAAAAATTTGATAGAAGAAGTACTTGCAGTCGCCGTTACATCAGTCTTGTGTTGTGCACACTTTAAGTGATCTTTAATATCTGCTCGCCCACCGTGTGCAATTGAAAATTCTGAAGACCATTGCTGCATTTCACCCTGCTATTGTCACTACAAGCTTTTTATAAGGGATAATTTTTTCAAGTTCGCTTGACAATTTGTAATTTCTTTTCGGCATTTTAAATCAAACACAGCAACTAAATAAAAGACAAAGTATTTTCGTATTTTACTACCGTTCACAAAAAAAAAACGAAATGTAATCGCACTACAAATGATTAGGGTAAACTGAGATCTGTTTTTTTTGAATTCATGAATTCTTGATTTGATTGATATGAGGTTGAATGCTCGAATAAATGAACTTTGAAAATTAAGGCAAATATCGAGCACAAGTTTAATCAAATCTTGCCCAAGTACTTTCACTTAATATAGCATCTTCAGGGGCATTTCGTCAAATATGGGCTATCCAGCAAGCGTAGAATGTGATAAACATGAATGTTAACATAAAATTGTATAAAACATTACACTAAAACAAGGACAAACAGTTTAAAATTAATATTAAAATAGTTCTACGCTCTACATTCTTTGTCGGTAACAGGAGAGAGAATGAATTTCTAAAAACATTTGCCGAAAAGATTCCTTTTTTAGCAAAAAATAACAAAATAATTAGAGATAGAAAAGAAATCGTAGATTGTTAGCAGACCAATACGAATTAAATTCCAGTGACGAAAATTACACTGATAATTTTAAAATACATAAAAACACGTAGAAAAAAACGTATTGGGATTCGACGGACATGAGATTCACAACCTTAACGTTCCTATTTCCTTCATAGAACTTGCTGAAGCCTTAAACTCTTCCAAAGATTCAAGCCCAGGACCAGACGGTATCCCCTTAGCATTTCTACTACATCTACCAGACAATGGAAACAATTTATTACTAGACCTTTATAATTTTATCTGGAGTAACCAGGTTTTCCCATCAACTTGGTCCGAAGCAATAATACTACCACTTCTTAAACCTGAGAAATCCCGGACATCACCTGAGTCATATCGACCAATATCTTTAACCAATATTATATGTAAAGTGTTAGAGAAAATGGTAAATAAAAGGCTGAGATGGTATTTAGAACAACAAAAACTCCTTATTCCACAACAAAGCGGATTTAGGCAAAATAGATCCACTATAGATAACCTAATAGACTTAGAGTCAGGAATACATGAAGCATTTGCAAATAAGCAAGATTGTATCGCAGTTTTTTTTGATATTAATAAAGCTTATGATACTGTCTGGCGATACAATATCATATCAAAATTGCATAATTGGAATATCAAAGGCAATATGTTAAAATTTATTTCCAATTTTCTTCATTCTCGCAGCTTCATAGTTCGATCAGACAACGCTAACTCAGATAAAAAAGTTCAAAAGAACGGAGTACCACAAGGATCAGTTATAAGCTCAACCCTTTTTCTAATAGCCATAAACGACATACTTCAACAATGCTCTCCGATTGTTAAAGGAAGATTATACGCTGATGACTTAGTTTTATTTGCCAAAGGAAAAAACCCTACATCTATTCAAAAACATTTACAACAAACAATTAATCAGTTAGAATCATGGTCTAGGACTATCGGATTACAATTTTCACCGACAAAAACTAAGTGTATTTTATTCACACGAAAACATAACACTCTAATTCCACATCTAAAGCTATATAATCAAACCCTTAGTTTCACAAATAATATCAGATTTTTAGGTATGGTTTTCGACCAAAAGCTCTCCTGGAAAAAACATACAGAAGAACTTAAAAAATCATGCCAAGCAGGACTAAATTTCATGAAAACTATTTCCAGCAAAAACTGGGGAGCAGATCAAAATACACTATTACATGTATATAAATCTTTAATTAGATCCAAACTCGACTATGGTGCGATAGTTTATTCATCAAGCAAAGTATCAGTATTGAAAACATTAGAAACTGTTCAAAACACAGCTTTACGAATAGCTACAGGCGCGTTTCGCACGAACCAGTTGAAAGTTTACAATGCTTAACAGGAGAACCACCACTAAGTTTACGACGCAAATACCTTTCTCTCTCATATGCTTCTAAAATAGCTAGTAATAAAGAACACCCTACTTATACCAATACGTTCACAGATCGATTTCAAGACACTTTCTCTACAAGAAGACTAGATCCACCATTTTACGAAAGAATTAGAAGAAACCTTCATGACCTACATCTTAAATTTCCTGAAATTCTCCCAACAAATTTCCTAACTTCTCCACCTTGGTTAATACCAATTCCCAAGATTAATACTAACCTTAGTATATATAAAAAACGTGAGACTATAACAGACCTGATCAAACAATCATTCTTAACAGAAATGGAAACTTATAAAAATCACTATAAGATATACACTGACGCATCCAAATCTTCAGACGGTGTTGGTGCAGCCATCCTTACACCCAATACATCCTTAAAATTTAAATTCAATCCCATTACTTCGTCGTATACTGCGGAGTTGTTTGCAATATTACAAGCACTTATCCACATAAAAGAGACGAAACAGTCCCCGTCTCTCATAATAACCGATTCACTAAGCTCACTTCACACTATCAAACGTTTATATACCAATAATCCAATTTCCTTACATATCAAATCAGAAATAGAGATTCTAAATAATAATAAGATCACTGTTGACTTCATGTTTGTTCCATCACATTCAGGTATACAAGGAAATGAAGAAGCAGATGAACTAGCCCGCTTAGCATCCTTCAGCCAGGACTCCATTCGCATTAATGAGGTTCCTTCAGATGACTTTAAGTCAGAAATAAAACATAAAGTGTTAAGTGCGTGGCAAAATAAGTGGAGTGCATCACAAAATAAACTCAAAGAAATTAAACAATTAGTGAAACCGTGGCTCCAACCCACAGCGAATAGACACGACCAAGTGAAAATAACACGTTTGCGACTAGGACATAGTAACTTTACACATAAACACCTCTTTACGCGAACTGTGCCGCCAATGTGTGAAACGTGTCAAGTAACACTCTCCGTGAAACATATACTAACTCAGTGCAAAAAATATGAAGCAGCAAGAAAGAAGCACACTATACCAAATAATATGAAGGAAGCCCTAGGAAAAAATATGAACATTAAAAAAACAATAAGTTATCTTAAAGACTCAGGACTATATCATTTATTGTAATTTTTTTTTAACTTTACCTGTATTTTACATTTAGGTCGCTAATAACCCTGGTGGTTACAGCGTAAATAAATAAATAAAAAAAAAACGATACGTTTTATTTTGTAATGGATCGTCCTTGTATAAAACTTAAGAGGTTTGTAAATAAATTAGCGAAAAATAGCAACTATCAATTGTGAATAAATTACGAAATTAACTGGTCTTACTCATTATTGTTATCTGTACAAAGAATATAGATTTACCCTCTGAAATATTGATGACGTAAGATTCTTAGACAGGGAATCTCGCTGGCACCACGTCGGGTCGCCCGGGTACTCCGAGGCTGTATAGGCACGAGAACCGATCACTGGTTGTGTTTCGTTCGCTGTCTCGGGAAGAAGTGTATATTGAAGTAAATGTCTTGAGATCGTTACTAGGGCAAAAACCACCCTCTGACCATTGGGTGGTCAACAGCTCGTGGGCAAAAGCATGCCATAAATCAACCCTATTGTCGGACGATTTTGAATGGCGATAATTTAAGTTAATTGTCACGGTAATACGAAACCTTACACTTGTGTATATTGGAGACACAAAATAACAAAAGGAGTCAAATTCTCCGTACTTAAAACATAATAAATGAGATAGCCAGCAAGTTTTACGAAATAACAGGAAGCAATATATTTTAATAAAGTCGTTAGAATACAGCATTGAATTAGATCATATTACAGTACGTAACAGAAAAATATTAAATGTAAAATATAAAAAGTACATACTTTCCCAAACATGGATGATAAAGTAATACATTAATTATTATTATTAATAACTTAAAAGACATACCTATAAACTACTGTTTTCAACATAGCTAAATCTTCAGTAAATTCTTTCCTCTTTGCTTTTAATATTTCGTTTTCATTAAGAACCTTTTCATTATCAGAATTACATTTGGCTATTTCGTTCCTATATTCCTCACATTTTTTACATATTTTTAACTTCTCTAATTCGATTTTCAATGCGTTGTTTTCATATAATACCTGTTCATAATTTTCTTCTAACTCTTCGATATCTTTTTTAAAGTGCGAATTGGCCAGTTGAAGTAAATTTACTTTTTCTCTAAGCTTGGTTATTTTGTTAACGGAGAGACCTTCTAGTTCATTAAATCTGGAGCTCAATTCTCTATTTTCTTCTAGTAACCGGTAATTTTCTTTAACTAAGTGTCTTCTAGATAATTTTGAACCTGTGTTAGGTTCTACTGTTTCAAGTATAATTTCGGTGTGAATGGGATCTTCATCTTTAATAATGGCCTAAAAAACAATTAGTTATAGATTTTTCCAATAAAGGTTGAAGTAAAAATAATATTATGGGCCAAAAATATACAACATATAAATAGAAAACGGAGAAAGGTTCAAATATATTTAAAATTTTATCGAACAAGATCCAAATATCTCCAAATATACAGTCCAATCGTCAGAGATGAAAATGCCATTCAATTTCTTAATTTTAAAGCTTAATCTTCAAAATCTATAACATGAAATTAGGATTTTAAGTTTAAACAATGAATATGAGGCATTTGAAATATGTTTAAAAAGCGCTAAATTTAAACTTTCACATTACAAACGAACTTAAGTCACGGAAGATGCTTCTACGAAGGCGGAATTAGGACGAATTTGTAGCTAAAGTTGTATAATTTTAAAACACGTACTGTAGAAGAGGAATCTGGTGGACAAGGTAGAGCTTCCAGTGACAGAGGCAGAGAGAAGAAATTACAAACATTGTATGGCTTGAGAAACACTCGCTACATATTAAAAATTTTACAATGTTGTCAATATGTGGACGATCACAGTAATTGGGTATTTTAAGAATGATATCTAAAAACAATAAGTTTCAAATAATTCACACAACATTCAATGAATAAAAGGATAAGGGAATGATTTTTGGTAAGGTATGATGTACAGTGTGTTTTATAGAAATGAAGAAAAAGTTTATCCTAAATTTTACAAAAAAAAACTATTCTTGAGAAAAAGCTCAGCATAGAATTAAAACAAAAATAATGATTTGATTAAAGTATAATATTTACCAAACAATAGATAATTATGATGTCATTAGAATACGATTAAGAGACTTTCATTTTAAAAGACCTTACTTGGAAAACTTCATTGTTGAAGTGTTTAAAGTTCCAAAATATCTAAAGAAGGCAATAATATTAATACAAGGGGTAGAAAATTGGGGACTGAAACTAAGGGGGTGGAGATAATAAATTTCAATGTTTTACTCTGAGAAGATATTTCAGAAAGCTTTGGAAGGCACCTCGGATGGTATAATTATAAACGGGCAATGTATAAATAACCTGCGAAATGCTGATGACACTGTCATACTGGCAGATAATGCTGAAGCCCTGCAACGCTTAATGGACCGAGTAACGACAGCCTGTAGAGAATTTGGAATGAAATTGAATACAAAGAAGACAAAAACGATGGTCATCAGCAAGCACCAAAACAGAAGGATGAAGGATTAATGTCGACGGAACAGATCTGGAAAGAGTAACAAGAACAACGTACCTTGGAAGTAATCTTTCAAGATTCTTCAAGATCTTCCTGTTACCACTCACTAGAGATAAGAATACGCCTGAAAAAGACACGTACAATGTTTTACAAAATGCAAAAAGTTCTATGCAACCGCCAGCTGGGCATCTCATTGAGAACTAGAATACTTAAGTGGTATGTTTTCTCCACCTTGCTCTATGGTGTTGAAGCCTGGACAATGACAGAAGCAACACAAAAAAGAATCCAAGCATTCGAACTCTGGTGTTACCGTAAAATGCTCAGAATATCCTACATGAGCCATACGACAAATGCGGAAGTCTTGCGGAGGATGAATAAGGAAAGAGAGCTTATGCTTCTAATAAAAGAACGGAAAACACAATATTTTGGTCACATCATAAGAAATCAAAAGTAAGAACTGCTCCAACTTATAATCGAAGGCAAAGTCAATAGCAAAAGAGGACCAGGAAGAAGACGCAACTCTTGGCTTAAAAACCTACGGTAATGGACGAACATGACCTCCATAGAACTATTCAGGGCTGCTACAAATAAGATTAAATGGGCAAATGTAATGGCCAACGTCCTTAAGGATAAGGCACCGTAAGAAGAAGAAGAAGTTTTTTAAGAAACCACAAGAATGGGGGTCTTAAGGGTCGGAGGACATAATATAAATGGAGTAATAGCTTAGTAAATGGTTTCAACTTTAAATAATCAAAAACGATGCATTTTTCAGGAAAAATTCATAGAACTTTTTTGAAGAGCTTGAAAAATCTTTACTTGTTTTTAAAACCTTATGAACTTTATATTTCTTGGTAAAGCTTTTGACTCTCATTACGATGGCTTGCAGTTCTGGCTGCAGTGTACAACAAAGTTCGAAATAGAAATTTAGGTCGAATATACCAATAAAAACACATTTTTTATAAATTTATTTGGTTAGTAAATTTCTACACATATAGAATGCGTGTATTCTCTCTTAGATAAGAATAATGTATACACTTATTGTATATTTATTATCTTTATAATTCATAAAAACGAACATATACAGTTCTACTTTATTGTTCAATATATGTTTTAGTCATAAAACGTATATCAAAAATGTCATTGAATGTAACTATTGATTAACGACTTCCTAATGCGTAAGATAGGATAAAAGTGTTTAATGTAACACTTCAAATGTGTTTGTTTTACTACTACATGGCCACCAGAAATAATGAAGCAGGTCTGAAAACTGATACAATAAAAACAAACTGGAAAAAGTATTAGTATAAAATACATAAAAAACACTATAATGTTTTTAGCGAGATAAAACCATTATCCTTGTCAAAATATCCTTCATCATCATCATTCTAGCTTTACAACCATGCGTAGGTCCTAGCTCCTCAAGAATTTCTCTCCAGTCGTCCCTATCCATCGTCTTTCTCCACCAAGCACGTATTCCCATATTTCTTATGTCTTTATTGATGTTATCAAGGAAACCTGGTTCTAGGTATTCCTCTTCTTCTCTGACCAATGAGTCTATCAAGAAGCGTTTTTCTAGCTGGGTCATTTTGTTCCATCCGCATTACATGTCCTATACACCTTAGACGTCCTATCTTAATATGTTTTACGATGTTCCTGCTATATTCTATAAAGTTTGAAGTTATATCGTCTTCTCCACACTCCATTGTCATTCACTGCTCCATAGATTTGCACTTTTCTTTCGAAACATCCCAACATGTTTTAATTACTTTCTGTTAGAGTCCTGGTCTCTAAACCATATGTTAGGACTGGGCGTATTATTGTTTTTTAGAGTTTAATTTTTGTATTTTTCGATATAATTATGGATTTCAATAGGAGATTGACTCCAAAATAGCATCTGTTGGCCGTGCAAATTCTGCGGTTTATCTATGCGGTACTATTATTTTCAGTGTTAAGGAGTGCTCCCAGGTATACAAATTCGTTCACTGCTTCGATTACGTCGTTTTCTATAACAAGTGGTCGTAGGATTTGTGATTGCGTGCTTATTTTAAAGTACTTAGTTTTATTTGTGTTTATTATTAAACCGATTTTTGTAGCTAATTCTTCTAATGCCAAATGCGCCTCTCCTACTAGTCCAGGCTGTGAGGCCGCTCCCGTTGGGAAAATGTTTCTGATTCGGTTTCTTCGCGGATTCCGGTTCAAAAATGTCCCCTTTAAACAAATCTGAAGGGTGCCGGGCGAAATTTTTGGGCAGAAATTGTTCAAACAATTTCTTTTAAACAAATTCCAAAAATATTTTTTTATCTGGAAAACATTTTTTTAGGTTTTTTGGATCATTCTAAACAAAAAAGGTCTCTTGTCGTTTTTCTCTAAAATTGATAGTTTTCGAGTTATAAGCGATTTAAAGTCTGAAAAACGCAAATATACGCATTTTTGAGGCCTGAAAACACATATGTAAATTATTATTTTTGAGGTTACCAAGTGTCTAAATTGAAGTTTAAACATTCAACTTCAAGATTGTGAAGAGTAATCGGGGATTATTTTAATTTAGACCATTGTTTTTTAATTGTTAAATATGCGCGTACACTCGATCTTTCAGCCGCCGCGGCGCCGCGCGCTAGAGTGCGCTTCTATCGTACTTATGCATAGTTTACATATACACTTACGCAAAAAAACACCGAAATCCTTGAAGTTTATTAACATAGTTTTTTCCATAATTTATTTAATGTAGGTATTAATTATTGTCATTGGGCTAATTAAATAAATCAATCATCGCAATGTAATAACCGTATATATTTTTTTTTCTTCCAAATTTGAACAATATAATTATTAATTTATTGAGTATATATTTATTTATATCAATTGTAAATAATATTTTTAAATTATTATTTAAATAATACAATGCAGTAAATATTAATATTAATAAACTTAATTTTAAATTGCGCGGTGTTTAAAAACAATATACTATCGCAAAAATGCAAGTTTTTAACCTGTTTAAACAATCGCGCGCTCATACTTGATTTGTTATTACTTAAACAATCATTAGGAAGACTATTGTTTAATGCCCATTAAAAGGGTATTATATTATTAATGTGTTATTAAAAAAATTGTGAATGGATTTAAATGTCTTTTTCCGTACCTCTTCTTAAATGAAAACTTACCGAAGAAAATTTAGTTTGTATTTTTTGTAATAACATCAACAATATTAAGTTAGTGCAAAAACCTAAAGTAGATTTTTACATAACAATACAAAATGCTGCTCTTCGACGAAAAGACAGTGTGACTGAAAAATTTAATTTATTCTAGCCAATATACCTTGTACCTCTGACGCACTTTACCAACACTTGTTAAGAGCTTTCGCTAAAACATATATTTGGCGAAATGCCATATATTCCCGCTATCAAACTCTCGATTTTACACAATATGGATATTATATGTCTGATAGTGGTGGGTTGGGAAACCGTGCAAATGCAAAAAGACTTGCAAAACTAATGCTTGCAACTGCAAGAAAAATCATGTCAACTGTGTACCATTATGTGGATGTGATTTAGATTTTTGTGAAAACAAAGATACTTTTACTGAGTGATATTAGTGTGTTATTTAACAATCTTTTGTACAATTATTTTATGTAACTATTATTAGACTTTAGACGAAATTTATATTATAACTCAATTGATATAAATAAATATGTACTCAATAAATAATAATTATCTGTAAGTATATGTAAACTATGCATAAGTAACCTCAAAAATAATAATTTACATATGTGTTTTCAAGCCTCAAAAATGCGTATTTTCGCGTTTTTTCAGACTTTAAATCGCTTATAACTCGAAAACTATCAACTTTAGAAAAAAATGACAAGAACATTGTTTAGAATGGCCCAAAAAACCTAAAAAAACATTTCCAGATTAAAAAAAAATTATTTTTGGACTTTGTTTAAAAAAATTGTTTAAACAATTTCTGTCCAAAAATTTCGCCCGGCACCCTTCAGATTTGTTTAAAGGGGACATTTTTGAACCGGAATCCGCGAAGAAACCGAATCAGAAACATTTTCCCAACGGAGCGGACTCACAGCCTGGACTGTGCCTATCATCAGTATAGGCAAGGATTTGCACTGAATTATTATATATTGAACCAATGGCTGTGAGTTGTGACAAACGTATTATTTTTTTCCAGAGCCATATTAAACAGTATACAGCAGAGAGTGTCTCCATGGCGCAGCCCGTTATTTGTTTTTAAAGGTCCAGACTGTTCCCCCTGAATTCGTACTTTACATTTAACTTTTTCAAGACTTGTTTTGTTAAATTTATTAACTGATTTGGTATTCCTAGTTTCATTGCTTTGAATATATCTCATGTATTCACAGAGTAGTAGGCTGCTTTGTCATCTATAAATATGTGATGGGTATTGTTGTAAAAAACAACTTATTTAATTATTGTAATCATATTTAGTTATTTTATCAACTTATACGCTCAGATCGTCACCTCTTGTGTTAATGTGTTCGTCACCCTCTCTTTCATCCCTCTCTTCACCCCGCCTTAAAAGACTTAGCTTAGGACAAGGAAGTGTGAATTTGCCTCTCGGCAAGTGAAGTCTGGGTGTCGATCTCAAAAAGTGTGTAAGTGAAAGATGCCTTGTGAACTCGTTGTTGTGTGTTAAGGCCCGTTTTCACGCTACGTCTTATTGTACGTTTTGTTGGATAGGACAAATCCTATACAATAAAACAGCAAAACGTACGTCTTGTCGGAAGGAAAAACGTAGTGAATATACACTGGACAAAGCGTACGTTTTGTCGTACGTTTGATATGACCAACAAAACGTACAATAAGACGTAGCGTGAAAACGGGCCTTTAAAACCGTAAACCGTTTTGTTTCTCTCTGTAACTCGACGTATCTTTGTTACTGCCTCCTAGCACTACTGTAAAGCTCTCTTAAATGTGGAAAGTTGGGTATTCAATTTACCCTCTCCATCCAGGTATCTATGCCATATTGAAAGTTTTTTTCTAAAATTTGTCTCAGGGTTGCAATCTGATGAATTGTCGATTTACCACCTCTGAAACTAGCCTGGTATTTTCCGTATTTTTGGCGCAAAGTATTCCAATATTCCGATTATTGGGGAGGGATTTCTGTGTCCATATTTCTTTTATAAGCTGCTGTAATGCCATTATGGTATCACGGTCATCTTCTTTATATAGTTCAGCTGGGAGATTAACCATTTTAGGTGATTTGTTTCTAGCTAGTTTTTAACTGCATCTTTAACTTCAAGAATCGGTAATGGTAAATCTTGATTCTCGACTGTTCTTTTTACCTCATCTCTTTTGTCTTTCAGGTTTTCTTCTTACTTTATATTAAGTGAGTGGTTAAAGTATTTCACCCATATACTCAATACATCTTTCCTTGTTGTTGATAGGTCGTCATTCTAACTTCTGCATTGCCTTGTGGTTGTCTTGAATTCTTTTCTGTAGATGTTAACTTTCTTATAGAATGTTCTGAATTCTTTCTCACTGTTGAGGTTTTCTATATATTTAAGTTCCTTATTTAAGTGGTCTCGTTTTTTTCTTTTGTGTATCTCCACGCCTTCTCTTCTCTTTATCTGATAATTCTCTACACTTGTTCTATTTCGTCGGTTAAGTATCTTTCTGTAGGCTTCATTTTTTCTTTAGTTGCATTCTTGCGTTCATCGTCAAACCAATGATTTTCACGGGCAGAAATTTCTGTTCCTATTTCATCTTTAGCCGCTGCTTTAAAGTCTTCCTTTTTTCTGGTCCAATAGGAGTCTATATCTGTCTGGCCTTCTTCATTTACGTTTTGATTCCTTAGCCTGTTGGTGATGTTTTCCGAGTACCGTTCTACAATTGTGGCATCTTTCAACTTTTGCACATTCCATTTTATTGTATCCATATTATTTTATTTACTGGTGTTTAAAATTCTAGCCCTCAATGTTGAGATCACTAGGCAATGATCTGAGTCTATGTTTGCGCCTCTATAACTTCTGCAGTTTATTACGTCTGTTCCATGCATTGAATTGATTAAAATGTGATCGATCTGTCCCGTTATTCTTTTATCAAGAGAGGTCCAGGTTACCTTGTGTATCTTCTTGTGTTCAAAATAGGTGCTAGTGACTGTCATATTTAGTGCTGCTGCTAAGTTTATCAGTCGTAATCCAATAGCGCTACTGATATTGTGTAGGCTATGATTTCCTATCGTGGACATAAACACTCGTTCTCGTCCTATTTTTGCATTAATAAGGTTTTTTTGTTCTTTGGTTATAATAAACTCCAGTCATGTGTTGGCTTTCATTGCAGCTATAATATATTACGAAATGGGTTCTTTTGTCGAGAGTGCTAGTTTCCGTCCACCGCATTTCCTGCAGTGCTAAAACATCTTTATACGATAAGAAATATCTTTTTTTTTCTAAATAAATTATTTTTGTACTAAATTAATGCTTTAAATTTAAACAAAGATTTCTACGCGACGTGCGCCTGTATCTCCGCAACCGCTGTACACACTTAGTAATGGTAGACTATTTTAAAAGCATATTCGAAATATGGGCCCGTCGACATATGGGTCCATGTTTTCAGGAGATATAAACTACTTATCCTTGTCAAAATATTTTTACTAGTACTTAAAGGTTTGAAGATTGTAAAAATTTTTGTAGAATATTAATTACATTTAGTAGTTTGTCAAAAAAAAAAAAATTCAGAAATCACTAATTAAGGCATTTTTTTAAACAAAAAATTGCAAAGAACTCGAAAACGGAAGCAATCAAATCAAAAAATAAAAAAATTGCCAAGCTAATAAAAGTGTTAATTTCAAAAAATTGTTTCCGAAGCGAACTTCAGTTATTTGTCGGCCCATTTGAAAAAAAAACATTTGAACTTCAAAAATATATAGAATTAAGTAAAAAAAATATAAAACATATTCTACAGTATTGTGCGAATTAATGGAATCACTGTGAATTTTTTTCATTTTTTCAATATTCACAGTTGGCAACACTACCTACACAGTTGACAGCTGACCAAGCATTGAAAACATAACCTTACTGTGTGTTGGTGTGTTTGAGTGTGTTTTAGGTCATTTCTTACCAAGCTTGTGTTGTTTTGGGGGTTTTTATGTTGTTTTATATTTTTATGTTGTGTTATTTTGTGTTGTTTTTGGTTTTATTCCAACATGGATATTACGCCTAGGAAGCGTGAAAAGATTGTCACGTTGAGTGAACACACTAGTATGTCACAAAGAGAGATTGCTAGAACGTGTGGAGTGAGTCAGGGGGTAGTAAGCAAAATTTTGAAGCGTAAACGAGAAACGGGATCAGTGGATGTGAAAAGATTAGGAAAATGTGGAAGAAAGAGAAAAACAACACCAGCAGATGATAGATTTTTACTTCGAAAGAGCAAATTGGACCCAAGAAAATCAAGCCAAGACCTACAACAAGATCTAGCAGCATCAGCTATAGTGATTCATGTCTCAACTGTTCGTAGAAGACTTTTGGAGAATGGTAGAAGGGCAATTCGTCCACAGAAAAAAACAGCTTCTAACTGAACGAATGAAGAAACAAAGGTTACTGTGGGCCAAAAAATACTCTAATTGGACTGTAAGCGACTGGAAAAAAGTCCTATTTACAGATGAAACCCACTTTATAGTTCAGGGACAGCGGTCGAAATTCGTCAAGAAGTCTGACAATGAAAAGCTTACACCATCTCATATTGATCAAACCGTAAAACATCCAGTCAAGAAAATGTTTTGGGGATGTTTTTCATACATGGGGGTTGGATCTTTGGTGCCAATTGAAGGCATGATGAACAGCCAAAAATACAAATCCATGTTGGAAAAGTATTTGGACAAAACAACTCCAAAAATGTCAACCCCAAGGAGAAGCGATTCTTCAGCAGGACTCTGCTCCCTGTCACAAATCAAAGGAAATGATGACATTTTTCAAAAATAAGAAGATTAATGTTTTAGATTGGCCCGGTAATTCGCCCGACCTCAACCCCATTGAAAATTTATGGGCCATTTGCAAAGCTAGACTGCGAAAAATCGACTGTACCACTAAAACAAAAATGATAGAAGCGGCCATTCAGGTTTGGTATCGAGATGAAAGGATATCTGACAACTGCCAGAAACTCATAGAATCTATGCCAAAACGGGTAAAAGCAGTAATTGTTCCCAAAGGGGGACATATTTCCTACTGAATGATGTAAGTTTACCTTTATAGTTTTGTCAAAATATAATTTTTTACTAAATAAACTGTTTTTTCATTAAAACAGCCTATGATTTCATTAATTTGCACAATACTGTATAATGTTGATATATAGAAACGTGACGAATGTATTGTTTTTACTCTCACATTTACTTTATATTTGCAATAATATTTAATATAATAAACACAATTTGTTTTATAGAATAAAATAACAAAATCTTACTTTTGAAGTAATTTCTTGATTTTTGCAATATTTGCTGGAATGAAAATTTCCAGAAAAAGTTTTTATTTTATTATGGTCATTATTTGTTTCCTGAATAGCTCTATGGACTGGAACATCAATTTTTTTTCTTCTAGGTTTTGGGGGTCCTTCTGACATATTCCTTTGACCTCTAGAACAAGTTACTATTTGGAATAATGGAAGCATACTGATTCACCATTTTACGTTGTGTCACATTAAGACACTATACTGAAACATAAACTTAATTTAGAAGATAAATGAGAGGTGTTAACAAATATTTAATAACCGTTTTTTGGAGTTTAAAAAAATATTACCGAAAAACAGTGTACTGGCGACATTTATGTTAAATAATTTTAATATTATTGAACTGAAACTGGAAACAGTGATAAATATAGGCGAATACAAAATTTGGCGTTTTTTATTTTAAAACAATGTATTAATAATTAATGAATATTATTCGATTTTTGTGATGATTCATGATAGTGAAGATCATGCGAGGAGTAAGACAAGGCTGTGTGATCTAGTCGACTCTTTTCAATATATAATCTGAGGAAATTTTTACTGAAGACCTCACAGACACTAGAGTTACTTGCAACCAGTCTAAATTATCTACAAACCTTACTAGACCGAGTGAGAACTGTGAGCGTAACATATGGACTAGACATTAATATTAAGAAAACTAAATTCATGGTTGTCAACGTGAAATTTAGATCCTGGGGCACTAATGGCAGGTAGCGAAGAAATGCAGAGAGTCGACAGATTCATTTACCTCGGAACTACCCTCAAGTCACAATGGGACTACGCTCAAGAGATTCGATCCAGAATTGCAATGGCAGGGTCTACATTTATCAAGTTGAGATCCTTGCTGTGCTGCAGTGATTTTAGTTTCGGCACCAAGATGCGCATAGTCAGGTGCTACATTCTTCCAGTGTTACTATATGGAGTTGAAGCCTGGATACTGACGCAAGCTACTGAAAAGCGGGTTGAAGCCTTCGAGATGTGGATCTACTGGAGGATACTAAAAATATCGTATATGGACCATGTCACCAACGTTGAGGTCCTACAGCGCATGACAAAAGAAAAAGAAGTGCTAATTTAGTAAAACAACGTAAGCTTGTGTACCTCGGCTACGTGATGCGAAACGAAGAAAAATTTCGAATTGTTAAACTCTTTATGCAGGGTAAAGTATTTGGCAGAAGAGGAACGGAACGCTGTCGTATCTCATGGTTGAAAAAGCTCTGACAATGGTTTGGGATGACCTCCGCGGAGCTGTTTCGCAGAGCAGTCAACAAAACCATGATAGCTTGATGATCGCCAACAAATCATGATCTGATCGCCAACATTCGGACCGGATAAGGCAGTGAAGAGGAAGAATTCGATTTTTCGACTATATATTTGCTAACAACTTAAATATTGTAAACAGAGGTAACAATACCGCCTTTATAAACTCAATTAGGAAAGAGGTTCTTAATATAACACTACCTAGTTCGTTAAAATATACAATTCTCATGTCTCGAATGAAGTCTTAATGTAGATAAGATTCGACTTGGATGCATCTAAGGAAGACCTTGAAGCATTACAAGTCTCAAAACAGACAGATTGGGACACCTATAAAACGTGGCTTGAAAGCGAAAGAGAGCCTAGATAGAGCCAACTTCAAAATGCTCAGCGGAATCAGCTCAGACGCCTAAGAGACTTCCTTAGCGCAACAGTTACGGAATACCTACATAAAATGAAGTTATTTTATGAAGATTTAAGGTACAAACATTTTGCATGGAATCCGGGACTTCTTCTTCTTCTTCTTCTTCAGCCTTAAGTAATCCAACTTTGGACATAGGCCTCCCCTAAATAAATCCAGTGTCTTCTATTTTGCCCCACTTGCTTCCAGTTGTGTCCTCCGATCTTCTGAATATCATCCGCCCATCTCATTTGTAGTCTTCCCTGTTTCTCTTTCTTAACCATGGTCTCCACTGTTGTATTGCGTGGTTCCATCTCTTATCCGTCAGTCGCTCATTGTGTCCTGCGAAGCTCCGTTTTAATTTGGCAGTATGTTCTCCTGCGTCTTTTACTTTCGTTTTGCTTCTACCGTTTGTTTGTTTTTTTGTCTATAAGTCTCACCCCGAGCATTGATCTTTCAATCGCTCTTTGTGCTTTTATTATTTTATCCATATTAGACTTGGTGAGTATATACGTGATTATAGGGAGGATACACTGATCGCAAATTCTGGTTTTCAAATATTGTTCTATTTTAGTGCTTTTCAAGATCCAACTCAGTTTTCCAAATCCTGCCCATGCTAATCTTATTCTCCTGGTAATTTCGGCAGCTTGATTTTCTTTGTTAACTTTCATTATCTGTCCTAGGTAGATGTATTTTCTTCCATTAACATTTACTCCCTTATCTGCCCAGTTAATATCCTTGAACACGTCTTCAAATCCAAGTGTGAATAGCTTTGGTGAGATAACATCTCCCTGGCGAACTCCTCTGTTAATTGGTATAGCTCTGGTTTTCGTATCTATTTGTATTTTAATTGTAGCTTTCTTGTAAATATTATTTATGAGCATTCTGTACCAGGAGTCTATACTGCACTTGTTCATAGCTCTCTCTATTGCCCGAAGTTCTATGGAGTCGAATGCCTTTTCATAATGAACGAAGCCAATGTATAAGTTCAAGTGATATTTATTGACTTTCTTATTGTCCAGGGGCAGTCAATTATATTTTGCATGATTACAAAATTCAAGATATTAGGCGGCAAACACTTTTCGGAGGCTCCAATTGTATACAGTTCATATTCAACTAGATTTGTATAAGCTGATACAGCGTTCCAGAATGCTGGTAGGTTCATCACAAATACTCAGTTGTACAACAACCGTAGTACGACCGGTTTTTAATAGATTTTTTAAACTAATTTATATTTTTCCTTATAATTTCTTGCAGCTGATACAATATTCTTCTGATATTCATCGGTGATTACCAAAATTACGGATACTTCTCTGAAATATTGTTTAGCCTGACCAAAATTACCCTGAATTAACAGTATATTTGCAATTTGTAAAAAAGCGTATATCATTTTAATAGATAATTAGTTTTTGTTAATAATTGGCACATTGATACTAAGTTAAATTAGTTTCAATCAAGCTATTATTAGCTGCAGCATATGTGGTTTCATTTAGACTTTAAAATGTTTAAAAACTACCTTATTCGTGAAGTTGCGTGAACTGTAATAGAGGTAATTAAAAAACATATGGAGCTTACTAAAAATTAATATATTGAAAGAGGTGCATTGAAATTAAACTGAAGTAATGTCTAGAAATACTGTCAAATCAAAAAGTAATAAACGGTACAGAGGTAGTCGAGAACGAACTATGTTCAGAAGATAGATCCCTTTTATTATTACCACAGTAGAGGAAATTGTACTTTATCGGTTTCTCGGCTTAGAATGAATAGTTTAATTCAATAAGTTTATCTACCATTCGAAGAAGATCGAACTAATCTAGACTTATTGCCAGAAAACATCCTCGGCATCTCTAGTTAACAAGTGGCAACCATGTTAGCCATAGAGTTTAGGCTACATAACGTTAAACGTTAGCCTTAAATTTCAGTACAATAGCTTAACCGTACTGATCTTGGGTTGTCGGGAAATCTCTAAACTGAGTAGGATTTCATCAAATATACAATGTACATACATATTATATGCACATATATATCTTGCCCAATCGGTAAATCCCTAGACAGTCGCACCACAACTGGCTTATAGTCTAGATGCCAGGCGACATACTGTATCACTCCTACATAACAGGCTACAATTTTCAGGATAGCTTCATAAGACCTCGACCCCCCTCTTGGGATACTTTCTGTACTGGGTACTTTCTCTCCAGCTTATCCAAAAGTGGTCAACTTAAAAAAATTTAGTAACAACAAGCTGATTTTCTCTGTATCGTTTAAAAATAACGTTAAAAATACTATTTTTAGAGTGTCCGACAATTTGTACTCGCCGATTTTTCCGCCCGACAGTGAAAATCGGCTTTTCTACGAGTCTGTGGAAATTTATTAATAACGTTTTTTATATGATTTTTAGTTTTTAAATGTACAACTTAATGAATGAATTGTCCGACAAAAAAATAGGGCCTTTTATGTAAAAATTAAAAAAACATACAGTCGAGATTACTTTTTTGTTGAATGCGTGAGCATTAAAATTGTAGATACCTACATGCCATTTATAAATAACAAGCTCATTATTTTAAAGCTATTTTATAAAATCTCGTAGTATTCGCTCCGTGCGTGACTGATGCGACACCTACCGCCTTCATCTGACAATTTTGGAGTCCCAATTTTCAGGTTAAATATATGACATATGTTTGACATTGTTAAATACATGCGAAATTGACAATTATTAATAAATTAGTTTTTTAACTATATTTTTTCAGTTTATGTACAAAATAAATGTAGTATTAAAAACTGAGTTTCTCAAAATTCATCATAATATATCGTTTTCAACTCCAAACGGAAAAGAAAGCGAAAAATCTAGTACTGGCAAATTAAGTTTTTCACGCAAAAGAGCATATAATTAAAACAATAATAGTAAAAGTTATGATATAAAAGCTAAAGTCATCTGCAGTTAGCTTGAAGCCTTATGAAATATCATTCAAGGTAAATTATTTAAATTGTTCCTATTTCAATTGCATAAAAATGAAATTATGTGATATTTACTTTTTCATATTAATAGCACGAATTCATCTTTTTCTTTTCTCTAATTTATATGTAATCTTTGGGAACCTATAAAAACTACACTCACTGTTTTTGCTATTATTAGCAGAATTAAATACGCAACATGTATTTGCACACATTTTTGATAAAACTTATGCGTAAAAATATTTTGTCCAATATTCCAATTTTGTCATATTTCGCCGCTACACACGCTGGCATCGTTTCCATGTACCCCTACCATGGTCACGCATGGAGCGAATACAAATGTAGAATTGACGGACAAGAATCTTTTTCCGATTTTTCAGTCGAAAACGTTTCGTCGTACTCTTCGCTGAAATTGTGTATATAAATTTTGTGTATATAAATTAAAGTTTGTGGACTTTCTCATTGAAAACTGATGCAAACACGAATTTGCTGAGATATGTGAAGGAAAAATATTAAAGTTGAATTATGATCATTGTTACGTGTATGAAGATTTCAACAACGGAATGAAGAGATCTATAGATTATAATTCATCTTGTACACATGAAGAAGCAGATACAAAGATTGTACACCATATTTGCCAGATGAACACGAACTGATTCGTTGTACCGATTCTGCCACACCTATAATTATGTTATCCAATATGGAATTTTAAAAATATAATGTGGAAGTAATTATAGATATGTCAACCAACAAAAAAAGGGAATATTTTCTCAATTGATGATATTTATCAAAATTACTAAAAGCAAATACACAAGCTCATACTCTACTGTATGTCATGTATTTGCTGGCAATCATTGAAGAAAAGCGAGAGATACCAGGTAGCTTTCCTGGATCTTTTAAGAATCCCTCCATCTGAAATGAATACTTCAAACCAAATATTTAAAGTCATTGAAGAATTTATTTGTAAAGTTAATTAAAAGCCAAAGATGTCAACATAGGGCGAGTTGAGCTCTTTGAGAAGGATTTTGAACGATACAGAGAAAATGAGCTTGTTATTACTAAATTTTGTGAAGTTGTTTTTTTTTGGTATGTGTAGTTTTGTGGACTCCCTTATGGAACAAAATTTTTGTTGGACAAGATTTTTTTCGGATATTTCACGAAGTCGACTTTTGTATTCATTAGACAGCAATACGTTATTAATAAATTTGATACATCACTTCAAAATGACCACTTATGGATAAGCTGGAGAGAAAAAGCACCCGGTACAGAAAGTATCCCAAGAGATATTTGGGGGTCGAGATCTTATGAAACTATCCTGAAAATTGTAGCCTGTTATGTATGAGTCATACAGTATGTCGCCTGGCACCTAAACTATTATTATGCAGTGAGATTTGTTCTGTAATTATTCCACTCTCCAATCCCGAGCTGAAATACTATCTTTTCCACGGGGATATAACCATGACGCAATATGGACACACCTTCCTGCCTACACTATTTCGTCCATGACGAGAAATATTTTCGAGAAATAAATTAAACAAAGAGACAAAAAGAGATGGCTCAAAAAGGGCTCCAGAAATGAATGACTCATCTCAGTCAAGGAATAAAAATATAAAAGGAACGGCGAGAGAATTGATCTATAGTAGTCGACATTAAATTAAATTAAATTAAATTCTCTATTTTCTTTCTGACAAACATAGTTTGTACAGAATTAGTCATAAATATACATTGCTACAAACTAAACACTAAACTAGACTAAACAAGACATGAAATGAATTTAAAAGCTAAATGGAATACAGCTAATATCTAAGATCTAAAAAAAATTCTTCGACTGTATAAAACACTTTTTCACATAAAAATTGCCTAAGATTCCTCTTAAATACATTTATTGAACTGGTGGACTTTACAACTGTGGGCAAATGATTAAACACCTGTAGCCCGTATACCCTGGGTGATTTAAATTTAATGTTACCTTTTGAAAATGGTATATAAAGTTTATTATAATATCTAGTATTCAAATTATGCATATCGTTTTAAACTGATCTAAGTTATTAAAAATAAAAAAACATAATTCAAAAATCTATAGACACGCCAATGTTAAAATTTTATATTTTTTAAAATATTCTCTACTAGTTAGTCGGGAGACATCAGCGACACAACGCAATATTTTCTTTTGTATGACGAAAATACCATTTGCATAACCAGACATACCCCAAAAACATATCCCATATCTTAGCCTGGACTCTACGAGTGCATAATAAATCATAATTAGCTGATTTTCCGTCAAAACATATTTTAAATTTCTAATTAGATAGTTAATGGAACTCAAGTTCGAAACAACCGCTCCACAATGCAACTTCCAATCCAAACTTTCGTCAATCGTTATTCCCAAAGACTTGCCTGACGACACCGCATCTATTTACATGTTGTCAAAAATAAGCTGAAGATTTTCCAAGTATTTTTGTTTATTGTGAAAACGTATTACTTGCGTTTTTTATGCATTTAGATGCAACAAGTTATCGCAAAACCAAGAATATAAAGATGAAAAAAAAATTATTACATTGATGTTGTAGGATTACGTTGGATTTGTTAGATAGAATAATTGACGTATCATCCGCATATATAGTGAAATTTACCGCTCTGTCCACTTGTACGATGTCGTTAATGTAGACTACAAAGAGAATTGGTCCTATTATAGATCCTTGGGGAACACCCATGTTTGTAGTAACAAGACTAGATCTACAACTGGTCACACAATCCTCGATCCTCGTCTGCAGGCTCACATATTGTTGTCTATTGTTTAGAAATGACATAATTCACTGTAAAGAGTTTCCTGTAATACCTATCTGTTTTAGTTTTTTAAATAATATTTCATGGTTTACACAGTCAAATGCCCTACTAAGATCACAAAATATTCCAATTGGACATTCGCCTGCATCAATCAAACTGGTTAAATGAGCATAAAATGCATGGACTGCCGTATTAGTAGATCTATTTTCTTGAAATCCATGATAACCAACGATTGATAACGGTCACGGAACTAGAAGAGCGTATGTTTAGGGTAAGGTGTTAAGTGTTTTCTGGAATTTCAAGTAACAAAGTCATGTTTTTGTCGACTCAAGTCTATTATTAAGCCAAGAAGTTCAATTAATCGTCCAGAAGAAAAAAAAAAATGTATATTATTCTAAGTTCCTTTGGTGGCATAAATCATCTCATTTTTAACTTAAAAATTTATAAAAAGGATACGGGTAGAATCGGTTTTCAGTAAGTTATCCGAATAGGACCAACGGAAAAAGTTTGAATAAAATTGAGACTCAAAGGATAATGTAGTTTGACTACCGACTACAAATATCTAAAGGTAGTTGGCCGAGGAAGACATTTCACTGGTCTCTACCAGGTTAAAAGAAGAGAAATAGGGAATCAAACATGCAATGCAAAGGGAATATCTTAAACAGAACAGATAAGAGAGATGCATACAGAAAGGAAATAGGAAGACAGAACCTAGCTGTAGATTTACAATACAATTATTTTATTGTTACATAAAATTAAATAAAATTTAGACAACACGGTGGTGTTAACTAGAAATTCAAGATTTATAAATGGTATTACATAGCGAGATAAGAATTTATTGGAATATAAAACTGACCAAGATTATATCGAGAGTATAGGTGACCAAAAGGTATAAATCTAGTAAAGAATTATTCAGAGAGCTAGAGCAAGAAAATTTAAGCATTATACAAAATAAAATGTTTCTACATGCATTCATATAAATGAGTCATAATGTCATTAACCCACAAACTACTAACACACATTAATACATTTATCTATTCATTTTCTAAAAAAATATTGTACTTAAAACAAACTTTGCAATCTAGCATCTTTTTAAAGAACAAATATAATTAGTACTTACACGAAAATAATGAAGTAAAGATAATATCATTAAAGTAAAATTGTTTCAACACTTTTAAGTGATGGTGATGACACAACGGTGGTATCTTTGTTAGGGATTTGACACTGTTTTTACATGTAAACAAAACCGTGTTTGATTGTTACGGAGCGTCACTATGGAAACCCCGACACGTTTTCAATACGAGGGGACGTTAAATGTAAAACATTATAGTCACCTCTGATAACTTCATTGCTTACAAGGAAATATATGGATACGTGGGAATAAGAAATAGAGTCTACAGATGAAAGGCTAAAAAAATTGAAAAGAATATCAGAGTATCTACAAAGATACGAAAATAAACAATGAACAATATTATCCCTGCGTTGGTCGCATGGTTAAATGAGCCACCATTAGTCGCAGGTGAGCGTGAAGCTCACTTGTCATGTATATGACTTATTTTGACTTTTTATGAGTCAAAAAAAAAACAAAAGGCATAAATGTAATGATTTATTTATCAAAGCTAAAAAGGCAATGTATTTTACAAAATACAAAAAGGAATAAAACATAAAATATAAAGTTTGGTATATCTACATAAATAAGCATAATTCTGAAACAGCAACTAGAATAATAAAAAAAAAATACTCAGATTCAGGAACTTCGTCGCGTTCACACTCTGTACAAATGGTGATTGCATGTTCTTTACAAATTGCTCTGAAACACTTGGCGCATTTTGAGGCTGTTTTCCGATTTTTTTTTCTTCAGATAATAGAAGCATTTTTGATTTTCCTCAGGAACATCTCGTTTCTGTGTCAAAGGAAGATTCAGATATTTTTTAATTTGCAAAGTTAGCAGAAATGGCAAGTTTTGGGCCGCTCTTTTTTGCATATGTGAGGTAATCAGTTGTCTGGCTAAAATTTTCAGATACTCACGTCTTGGTTGGCAGGAATCTAATACATTTGTCCTGAATATAATGTTTCTATTTATTCCAGCGATGTTTAGCATAGTAAAAAAAACAGTCAATGGCCATCTACATGTAATTCTTGCCAGTGAATAAAGACACTGATTGTAAAAAGTAACTACTGCTGGTTTGCTTCACCTTTTTCCTCGTCCATTTCGTCATATTTATGGAGGGTTGACAAAAGCAGGACATTCTTATTTTTTTTTGGGGCGTACGAAACTAATAAACATTCACAACCAAAAATAAATAAACTGATACGAATTGGCCTTTCTTTAGTTGCAACAAATATTTCAGGAATTTCACATTTGTCTTTTTTATTGTCCCAACTAAAGTTATTTTTTTCTTTTTTAATTCCTCGGCCAAAGGAACCGACGTGAACCAGTTATCACAGATTATATTTCGTCCTGAATTTATAATGGGTTCACAAAATCGTTTCACCACACTTGCTGGACTGTTGTCAATATAAAATGGACCATCAGGCTGCTTTCCTGCGTAAATCTCCATTTTCACAGTATATAAATATAATAAATAATATAAATATATAATATAAATATATAATATATAATATAATATAAATAAATATAAATACACGACTCTCAGCCAAGGCAAATATTTTTATCAAAATGGCTTCGCCATTCTTCAAAAAACATTTAAAGTGTTTGTTTGTCCTTGTGTAGTGTATTGTTATGTCCCATTTTACATTTATGACATTCTGCTTTTCGTCGGATAGGCCACAACTGACGAAATGTCCCTGAGGATGATCTAGCGATCGAAAGTACTTGGACAAGATTTAATTAATAATGTGTTTGCCTTGTATATTATCAAAGTTCAAATACTTTTATCCCGTATTTGTTTGGTTTCTTCTTCTTAAGGTGCCGTGCATTTCTGCGTAGGCGTCCACCGTACATCGCCTTGTCAGGTGAGATGTTAAATATTCTGGTTTAAATAATTCTGTTTTTAGCAGCATTGCGAAGCATTTCATAGCTGTGGATTCCTGTCCATTGTCGAATATTGCGTAGCCATGACATTTTTTTACGCACGAGACCTCTCCTACCCTCTATTTTCCCTTCGAGTATCAGTTGCTGAAAAGTGTATCGTTCTCCTCGTAGAATGTGCCCCAAGTATGCAGTCTTCTTACTTTTTACATAATTAAAAAGTTCCCTATCCTGTAAGCCCGCTCTTCTGAGTACTTCCTCATTTCTGACCCTGTCCGTCCATGATATTCTGAGCATTCGACGCAGGCACCACATTTCAAACACTTCAAGTTTGTTAATGGAACTGGCCTTTAACGTCCATGCTTCCATTCCGTACAGGAGACCAGGCCACACGTAACACTTAAGCATCTTGTATCGGAGGTTGAAGTCCAATTTGCGATCAGTCAAAAACTTACGAAGCCTCAAAAAAGCATTTCTGGCTTGTTCAACTCTGCTCTTTATTTCATTCTCGGGGTTCCAACCCTCATTCAGCAAACATCCCAAGTATTTGAATTGCCTGACTTGTTCGATTTCTTCTCCAGAGACATATATCTTTGCGTTGGGGTAATCATTTCTACTTATAATCATTGATTTTGTCTTCTTGATATTTATTTTCAAACCCCGAGCTTCACTTGCAAGAGTTAGATCATTTAAAAGGCATTGAAGATCTTCGATGTTATCTGCCACTATGGCTGTATCATCGGCATACCTGATGTTATTAATAAATATGCCGTTAACTTTAATACCCTTATTAGAGTCTTCCACTGCTTCTGCGAAGGCTTTTTCTACGTATAAATTGAATAGCATTGGGGACAGTATACAACCTTGCCTTACTCCTTTTTTAATGGAGAAATCTTCTGTTTCGTTGAAATTTTGAAGACGTACTGTTGCTGTCTGATTCCAATACAGATTGGCGATGATTCTTATATCCTTTGCATCCAATCCCAACTCTTGTAGGTATTTTATCATCAATTCATGTTTTACATTATCGAATGCTTTCTCGTAATCGATGAAACAGATAAAAACATTCTTTCTTTGATCTAAACAATTCTGTATCAATGTTTGCATACTAAAGATCGCTTCTCTCGTGCCAAGTCCATTTTTGAAACCAAACTGACTCCATCCACTCACCTCTTCACATTTCTTAAACAATCTAGTGTGAAGTATTCTCAGGAAAAGTTTTAAAAAGTGACTCATTAGGCTTATTAGTCGGTGGTCCTTGCAGAAGTTCGCACGTGGTGTTTTTGGTAGGGCAATAAACGTAGATCGAAGCCAATCTTTTGGAATCTGGCCCGTATCGTAGATGTCGTTAAAGAGCTTGACAATAATGTCTAGGTTTTCTTCATTAAGTAACTTGATTGTTTCTGCGTACATATCATCTGGTCCTGGGGTTTTGTTACTTTTTAATAGTTTGATAGCGTGTACAATTTCAGCTTTTAAAATACTTGGGCCATACAAATGGTCTCCCAGTTGTGGTGGTTTTTGTGTTTTGTCATCATTGAACAAATTGGCTGTGTACATTTTCCAAGTATTAAGTATATCGCTAGGGTCCGTTATTAATTAATTTTGGTCATTATGTATACCAGTGACTTGTTTTTCCTTGAAGACACCAGCAATTTGCTTAATTTTCTTGTGAAGATTGTTTGGTTTACTCGGGATATATTGTCTGAAGCTGTACCTTCCACACAAACCCTCCAGCATTTCGTCAATAGTACAGTTCTCACCAGGCGTGTAGCACGTTTGGCATCTTTGTCTGCATATGTGTCTAAGGATTTTTCGTTCAAATGAACCTAATAGGTGTTCATCGCTTTTCGAAAGTGTCCATGTCTCTGATCCATATACAAGGACCGGTTTTATCAGGGTCTTATATAATTTGCATTTGGTTTTTCTTGTGATGTTGTTAGATCTTAGATGTTTAATCAGTCCATTATATTTTTTATTAGCGATATGTATTCTTCTCTTAACTTACCCACTGACATTGTTATCTGCGGTAACTAGTGAACCTAAACATTCCAGCCTTTATGTATTTGGTTTTTATTTAGTTAATGTTTTAGTTAATGTTTTGTGCCGCTCTTTCTATCGCATTAAATGCTTCTATCATCTTTTTTCGCTTCTAGCTATGATATCAACATCATCTACAAATGCTAATATTTGTACACTTTTTGTTATTATTGTTCCTCTGGTGTTGACTTTTGACTCCATTATTATTTTCTCTAATGTAGTGTTGAATACAATAGAGGATAGGCCCGTTCTCACATGAATTCTATCTGTTAATTCGTTTTGAATTCGAATTTTGCTTTGTACTTGTGTTTCTTTTACTATATCAATGAGTTAAGTTGGAATATTAAACGCTTTCAGTGCATGGATCAGATACTCTCGATAGATGCTGTCATAGGCACTTTCAAAGTCAATGAAAAGATGATGTTTGTCTATATTAAATTCACTAGTCTTTTCCAAGATTTGTGGACTTCTGCCTGCAGAAACCACATTGATATCCCCCAACTATTTGTTCCGCATATGGTCTCAATCGGCATACACAATATTTGACAGTATTTTAATAAAATCGAATTTTTTAATATTACTCTAAAACAGTTTAAAACTTTTTTTATGAAAATTTATATTAGTATTAGCATTGTCCAATAAGATTGACTTAGGGAAAATATATTTTCCTCGATTTTTCTAGATTTTTAGAAAAATTCTCCATTCCTTTCCTTCCTTTATTTTTTTTGTGGTATAGTATTTAATTAAAAATGGGATGTTAATCTTCTTCTTGATGTGCCTATCCGTTACGAATTTTAGCGATTATCATGACAATCTTCATCTTATCTGCAGCGGCGCGGAAAAGCTGCACATATGTTCAATGGAATAAAATAACTATTTTACAACTTTCTGTCTCATAATATTTGTAAAATTATTAATTTAGAAGATACAGCCACTTTTTTAAATGCAATATTAGATTTTTATAAATATTAAGGGTTGCGTTCTGCACATACGATAAAGTCTATATAACATACAAAGCCATCAAAAGCGAGAATGGATATATATATATACATATATATATATATATATATATATATATATATATATAATATATATATATATATATATATATATATACATGTTCAATCTATAACTGATGATTTTTCCTTTCGCTTTACAGGAAAAGCATGCGAACTATATAAAACTTTATTGAAA